ATTTATTTCAGGTACTTCTATAGCACCATCAATTTACGCAGCGCTTTACATATATATTGTACATTCACATCAGTCCCTAACCCTCAAGGGGTGTACAATCTAAGGTCCCTAACCCTCTAGGGGAGTACAATCTAAGGTCCCTAACTCACATTCATACATACACATACTAGGGACAATTTAGACAGGAACCAATTAACCTACCAGCATGTCTTTGGAGTCTGGAAGAAAACACACACAGGCACAGGGAGAACATGCAAACTCCAGGCAGACGGTGCTGTGGATGGGATTTGAACCAATAACCCTACTACTGCCAGGTGGAAGTGCTAACCACTTAGCCACTGTGCTGCTGTTAAATGTCTATACATAGCACAATAAAAGAATGATGAAACAGATGTGATCTGTAGAAACCTTACAAATGCAGAAAAGTGATTATGTCCGGTTCAGATAGTTTGAATATGGAAAAATGAGGAAAGAAAAAGCTACAAGGATTGGTAGTGGACTGATATATATCCCTGTGCTAGAGGACGTATATCCATGTACCAAAGGGTGCCTTAGCAAGAAGTAGAGAGGTGACAGGTAAGGGTTTTGTTTTAGTGATATGATTGCTTTAAGTGCAACAATGCAGTTAGCCTCAAAATGTCTTTGCACACCCAGTTATTACCTTGTAAAAGTAGCAGGGGCATCATCTCTGAGCTGTATATAGCCTATGCAGAGAAGAGAGCTATGGGAGGGGCCCGGTAGGCTCCACCCAATGCAGGCTGCCTGCAGAAATCTACAGGAGGGGGGTGGAGACAAGACCAGTCACCCTGCACAAGGAGAGAGAGCAGAGCTGTGGGAGGGGCTCAGCAGGCTCCACCCAATGCAGGCTGCCTGCAGAAAACTACACGAGAGGGCGGAGACAAGACCAGTCACCCTGCACAAGGAGAGAGAGCAGCAGTGAGTGGTCTCCTGCATAGAGTTAAAGTCTCATGTTGGATTACTGCTCAGATCTGGAAGAAATACACAAAGCACCAAGATTCAAATATTATGTCCCTTGTATGCATGAAAAGGTGCCTAGCATGAGAGCGAAGGTTTGGTTTAGTAACAGGATTGCTTTTAAGTGGTTGTAATCCCTTCCATATACCTAGTGAAGTGACTGGCCCTCAGGTGATACACAGAGATGAAGCAAATCCTCCTACATAAGTTGTACCTGTTAATCTGCAGTCTTCTCTTCATTCATTGAATGCACTGATCTGTTTTTCTTCCATTTTTGCGTTAAAAAAAGTGGAATAAAAAGTGTAACAATATAATCCTATGTAACTCTTCAGTGATCTGTTGCGGGGCCATGGCATTTTTAAAATACTGCTTGCTGCATTTTTGGTGCAGGTTTGGTGTGGTAAAAAAAAAAAAAAAAAGCACCAAAACCGCACCTCTCCATTGAAATGAATGGAAAACGCGGCAAAAACGTATCACAAATGCACCCGTGTTGTATTTTAGGAGCGGTCTTTGAGTAACATATCCAGTAAAAAAGGCACCGCAAACACGGTAAAAATGCATTTTTTTAATATCAATTTGAAAGTAGGTTTAGGGTTAGAATTCTGGAAAGGGTTAATGTTCGGGTTACAGAAGGGTTTAGTGTTAGAATCAATGTCATGTGGAAGACTGATATTAGGGTTAGGCTCCAGGCACTCTGAGCTTCAAAAGAATGCCAGATCCATTGGCAGAAAAAAATGCTGTTATCCACTTAAGAGGATTCCCCCCTTCCTGACCGGGCCATTTTTTGGGATATGGCGCTGCATTAATTTAACTGACAATTGCGCGGTCATGCAACGCTGCACCCAAATGAAATGCATGTTCTTTTTTTCCCACAAATGGAGCTTTCTTTCGGTGGTATTTGATTGCCTGTGTGTATTTTATTTTTTGCGCTAAAACAAAAAAAGACTAACAATTTTGAGAAAAAAACAATATTTTTGACTATTTGCTATCAAATATGTCCAGTTGAAAAATTTAAAAAATCAAATTTTGTCATAAATTTAGGCCTAAATGTATTCTGCTCCATGTCTTTGTTAAAAAATGTATACCGTCTACAAATGGCAGTATATGTACTGGAATTTTTTTATTTTACTAGTAATGGTCAGCGACTTATAGCGGGACTGCGGCGAGCATTCTGACACTGGAGGGAACTGACTTGGTGACATCCCCATTGACACCAATACAGTGATTAGTGCTAATAAAAAACACTGACTGTACTAATGGCACTGGGCAGGAAGGGGATAATATGAGAGGTGATCAAAGGGTTAACTGTGTACTGTTTCTCTGTGGGGGGACTGTGCGTGTGTTTCACTGTAAGCATGCTGCTATGCAGAGCCTTACAAAGCAGTGTGCAGGAGCTGACAGGGGAGAGATCTGTATTGTTTATACACAGGTCTCTCCCCCGTTGGTAATACTCTGCAATTGCCGGGTGCCGACGGGGAATCACCGGCCGGGACCCAGCGACTGACAGCTGAGGCCGCAAACTGCAAAATCATGTATATATATGTGATTTTGCACACCTGTGCCGCCCTGTAGCGGTATTTCTGCTATAGGGCAGCGCAGAACCGGTTATTGAGCATTTTTGTACACAGTTTAGGAGAGATAAGCATCTATTCTGCCAGAAAGCTGCAATCAAAACCACAGACCAGAAGGGTTTTTTTTTTCCTGCCTTCAAACATTGAGATTAACCCCTCTACGCTGACGTCATGCAAATATGCGGCCTCACAGAACTGGGCTCTTTTCCGTTGGGCTGCATAGTTGCATACCTGTCTCTCTGCTGGGGGCACAAAGTAGTTGTGATGATATGTCCGGTTTTACTAACACATCAAAGTTGCAATATATTACTTAACAGGGGCGGACTGACAACTCATGGGGCCCCCGGGCAATAGGAGATCATGGGCCCCTGTGTCCTTGCCCAAACTCAAAAAAGCCTTTGAAAAAGATACCAGAGGCATCTCATGGGGCCCCCTACTGACCCCGGGCCATCGGGCAGTGCCCGAGTTTCCAAATGGTCAGTCCGCCCCTGTTACTTAATCATTAAGATGTGTTTTACTCTTAGGCACGAAAGGGTTAAAATATGCCTTTAATTGTCCTAATGTGTATGGACATAGAATAACACTGAGCCGCTTTACAGACAAAACACAGAACTCCTGTAGAAAAAACAGAATTAGATACACTAACAAATTGAAGCCAAACTCCAGCTCACAACTTTATGAGCAGTTACAGCAAACAGTTTTGCTCCTTTTGGGATAAAGGTTTTACATAAATACATTTGATCATTGTAAGCACCCCTGTCAGTAGTAAATGGTTTGTCTCAACCCTTTAACTGCTACATCTGCAGGATAGTGTGTTAATTTGAAAAACAACAGACTTATCAGCCAGATCACCAGATGAAAAAAAAAGGGAAAGAAAGCCTAAAAAGGAAAACTAATGCAGCCATCACATCTAAAAACTGGTAAGCTGCAATATCATAAATGTTTGCTTTTGGGTTAACACAGATGGCAAATTAAAAAAAAAAAAAACTGGCAGGAGTTAGAACCCTCCCTTACTCTATCCAAAATGGAAAAAAAAAAAGGTTTGCCTATAGTTCTACTTTAGAGCGGAGTTCCAGCTGGAAAAAAAAAAAAAAAAAAGTCAGCAGCTGCAAACACTGTAGCTGCTGACTTTTAAAATACAGACACTTACCTGTCCCTCGGTCCAGCAGTGTCCTCACCACAGCTGGTTTCACTGGCTGTCTTCTCTCCCTGGCGCCGGCATCTTCAGTGTGGGCACTCGGCTGTGACAGCTTGTGGCTTCACAGCCGGGTGCTCGCTGCACATGTGCGAGAAGCGCTGCGCTTTGTGAATGGCCCCGTAGTCTTCTGGGACCTGTCATGTGTCCCAGAAGTCTACAGGTAGGGAGGAGGGGGACAACTTCCGCTTCCAATCGCAGCGGAAGTGGGAGCGAGTACCTGTCACATTCGGGTACCTGATCCCCAAAGCTGCCAATCCTTAATGGGGAGCAGGGGACAACTTCCCCTTTTGGGTGGAACTCCGCTTTAATCTATGCAAACTACTAAGAGAATGAAAGAGGTGCAGTTTGGCCGTAGTCATGTGATATTTGGTTTCAAAGGAAGAAACAGTTGAGTCACTTAAGATGTTGTTTCCTACCTTCTCGTGTGTGTGTTTTCAGCATTTTCTGATATCGTTTCCGGCAACAAAAACAAATTATGGCTACTGCCAAAGGCCCAAGGATAACAAGAACAATAATAGCATCTATATATCCTTTACAGTCATTGATGCCGGACATCCTTTCATCTGCAGAAAGAACAATGTTTACCTATAGATTAAACATCAAGGTGTTTTCTTATTTCAGTGCACATTAAATGCTGCGGATAAGCAGGTAAACCAGAGAGCAGGAATAGAGAAATAGAGAGCAGCCACATGGTGAATACTGCAAGGTACAATTCTCTCATTTGTCACAGAGAGGTAGAAGTCCTAAAAATGGTTCCATACCAGCCTTTGTTATACCCTCCCCTCCCATCCCCAGTGTCCCTTTTAGTCAGTTTTTATGCCCCCCAGTAGGGGACAGCTTGACCAGTTATGTGACCAATGTAATTGGCTTTCACAGTGGCCACATGATTGGGAGCCTCTCCCACTTGTTCCTGAACATTCCTAGAAACCAGGACCTGTCCTTGACAGCTCAGTCTGTGTGCTGGGAGTGTGTAGTAAGCATGCTCTTAGCACAGACTCCTCAGCTGTCCATAGACACATATGTCTGCTGTGTGGTCATTAAGGCCCAACCTCTTTGCTGCGGCACATATGCTATAAGAAGTTGACCTTTTTTCCACAGAGGAGCCATTGAAAGAGTTTTCAGGTCTAGGAAAACCTCTGTTAACACCAATTCATTGGGATTTAGTAGTAAAATGGACCTAATATTGGTGGTCTGTAAGATGAATGCTCCTTACATTGGTGGTCAGTGGGAAGAATGCTCCTTACATTGGTGGTCAGTGGGAAGAATGCTCCTTACATTGGTGGTCAGTGGGAAGAATGCTCCTTACATTGGGGGTCAGTGGGAAGAATGTTCCTTACATTGGTGGTCAGTGGGAAGAATGCTCCTTACATTGGTGGTCAGTGGGAAGAATGCTCCTTACATTGGGGGTCAGTGGGAAGAATGCTGCTTACATTGGTGGTCAGTGAGAAGAATGTCCCTTACATTGGAGGTCAGTGGGAAGAATGACCCTTACATTGGAGGTCAGTGGGAAGAATGACCCTTACATTGGAGGTCAGTGGGAATAATGCTCCTTACACTGGTGATCAGTGGGAAGAATGACCCCTTACATTGGTGGTCTGTGGGAAAAATGCCCCTTACATTGGTGGTCAGTGGGAAGAATGCTCCTTACATTGGTGATCAGTGGAAAGAATGCTCCTTACATTGGTGATCAGTGGGAAGAATGCTCCTTACATTGGTGATCAGTGGGAAGAATGCACCTTACATTGGTGGTCAGTGGGAAGAATGTTCCTTATATTGGTGGTTAGTGGGAAGAATGTCCCTTACATTGGGGTCAGTGGGAAGAATGTCCCTTACATTGGGGGTCAGTGGGAAGAATGTCCCTTACATTGGTGACAGTGGGAAGAATGCTCCTTACGTTGGTGATCAGTGGGAAGAATGAAACTTACATTGGTGATCAGTGGGAAGAATGCTCCTTACATTGGAGGTCAGTGGGAAGAATGTCCATTACATTGGTGGTCTGTAAGATGAATGTTCCTTATATTGGTGGTCAGTGGGAAGAATGCCCCTTACATTGGGGGTCAGTGGGAAGAATGCCCCTTACATTGGGGGTCAGTGGGAAGAATGCTCCTTACATTGGTGGTCAGTGGGAAGAATGCCCCTTACATTGGGGGTCAGTGGGAAGAATGCTCCTTACATTGGTGGTCAGTGGGAAGAATGCCCCTTACATTGGGGGTCAGTGGGAAGAATGCCCCTTACATTGGGGGTCAGTGGGAAGAATGACCCTTACATTGGAGGACAGTAGGAAGAATCTCCCTTACATTGGAGGTCAATGGGAAGAATGTCCCTTACATTGGAGGACAGTAGGAAGAATGTCCCTTACATTGGAGGTCAATGGGAAGAATGTCCCTTACATTGGAGGACAGTAGGAAGAATGTCCCACTTACAGACAGCTAATAAAGATAACTGGTGTCATGACATTGGGTCTTTCGAGTGGCTTTGACCCCAGAATTATGCAAGCACCATCAAATCAGATGCCAGTCATCCACAGCTCTAGGTCCCCTAGCAACCTATAGAGGAACCCAAGGTTTCCATAGAACCCTGTTTGAGAATGGCTGTTCTAAGCCATCATCCTACCATTAAATCTGTTGCAAGCAGTAGGGACCTGCTAACTTTTTTTTTTTTTTTTTTCAATGCTCCCTAAGCAATGGAGACAGTAAACCTTTAACAGCTCCCGCTTTCTGATGTATTCTCCAATATTCAATTGCCTTTGGCACTACGAGTTACATAGTTTCTGACATTAACTTAAAAACTGAAGATAGCAGCATATTAAAATCAAGAAACTTTTGAGCATTTCTATACTACTTTACATTGAAAGTCACTGTGATTGCTTTCTTCTCTTGGAATGCTCCATATCTCACTGCACACGTGTAGCTTCCATTGTCTGCTGTAGATATGTTAAAGATCTTCAGATTCGCAGTGCCATTTAATGCTTCGGCCTTATCCAGGGAATATTTGGACGCATTGTGCTCCACCATACCGTCACTGCTTAGAATAATATTTTGATCATAATACCAAAGAACTGTAAGCTGTTCAGAATCCTTCAGATGTTGATCTGCTGTGAATGTGCAGGGAATGTGAGCTTCAGATCCCAGGGTGGCTGTGTATGTAGAAGGTCCCTTCATGTATAGAGCAGTATCTGCATGAGACGACAATTAATGAACTGCCTAAGTTTGTGTTAGAAGATCAATACATACCCTGCATGCAATCACAATAGCTCTTAGTGCTGCAAATAGAGAATTATTGCAGTTCTTAGTTCCTTTTGTGACTATATAGTAAAGCAAAACTCCAAAAATAACATAATAGACATGAATAGTCCATTAAAAGATGAATTAAAGTGTTTCTAAACCCAGGACCCTGCATTCACTATATCTGGTCTCTCCGGACCCTGCATTCACTATATCCGCTCTCCCTGGACCCTGCATTCACTATATCCGCTCTCCCCGGACCCTGCATTCACTATATCCGCTCTCCCCGGACCCTGCATTCACTATATCTGGTCTCCCCAGACCCTGCATTCACTATATCTGGTCTCCCCGGACCCTGCATTCACTATATCTGGTCTCCCCAGACCCTGCATTCACTATATCTGGTCTCCCTGGACTCTGCATTCACTATACCTGGTCTCCCAGGACCCTGCATTCACTATATCTGCTCTCCCCGGACCCCGCATTCCCTATATCCGCTCTCCCCGGACCCCGCATTCACTATATCCGCTCTCCCCAAACCTGCATTCACTATATCCGCTCTCCGTGGACCCTGCATTCACTATATCTGGTCTCCCCGGACCCTGTATTTACTATATCCGCTCTCCCCAGACCCTGCATTCACTATATCTGGTCTCCCCGGACCCCCCATTCACTATATCCGCTCTCCCCGGACCCCGCATTCACTATATCCGCTCTCCTCGAACCTGCATTCACTAAATCCGCTCTCCGCGGACCCTGCATTCACTATATCTGGTCTCCCCGGACCCTGCATTCACTATATCTGGTCTCCCCGGACCCCCCATTCACTATATCCGCTCTCCCCGGACCCCGCATTCACTATATCCGCTCTCCTCGAACCTGCATTTACTATATCCGCTCTCCGCGGACCCTGCATTCACTATATCTGGTCTCCCCGGACCCTGCATTCACTATATCTGCTCTCCCTCGATCCTGCATTCACTATATCTGGTCTCCCCGGACCCCGCATTCAGTATATCTGGTCTCCCCGGACCCTGCATTCACTATATCTGGTCTCCCCGGACCCTGCATTCACTATATCTGGTCTCCTTGGACCCTGCATTCACTATATCTGGTCTCCCACAGTACACAGAACATGGAAATACAATTATTTTAGTAAATATAAACTGCTAAATACATTTTCTCATCAGCAGTATATAGCAGTCTTCTGACTTATATCAGTGTCCAGCAGAGCACTGGTTACAACTTGTAGGAGTTTTCATTCTCTAGGAGGATGCAGAACCCCTGACCTCGTCTGGACAGTGCTGACTGGACCTGTGCTGATCACATGCACTGTCCCGAGAAGAAAAAACCTCTCTAGCAATACACACCAAACTGAGCATGTGCAGATTGTCTCCACACAATATGTCTTATCAAGTGATAAGAGAGGGACACTGGAAGAAGGGGAGGATCAGAGAAGACAGTATCGAACAGCCTTTTTACACAATACAGAGGATTAACCCCTTAGGTTCCACAGTGAGTATAACAAGCATGCTTTACTGCATATACAGACTGGTTTTACTGTTGTGGGTTTAGCGTTTTAACAAAACAACATCTGCTGCAAAATTCAGGCTCAACACAAAAAATTTCCGTGCGGGATCTTTTTTTCTTCCACTAGATGTCCTCAGTCTGTATGGCCGGCATACTTTAACTCACTTTCTCAGAGCCCAGCCCATCTTGGACTATGATTGAACAGTGTATGGAGATGCAGCAGAGGGAAGCACTGAAAACTCAAGTATTTTAAAAGCTTACTTGCAGCTTTTTTGTTTTACATAAATGATTCACTTGCAATGTGCCTCTGAACTTGCTAGAAAAATTGACTACTCTAAGAAGAGTCAGTTCCCTCCATTCTCACATGTCATAACTAGAGATGAGCGAAGTATTCAAAAATTTGATTCGGCTGATTCGCCGAATTTCAGGAAGAAATTCGATTCGATGCGAATTTATTCGCTACGAAGATAACTTATAAAAAGGGGAAGGATGAGTAAGAAGGATGAAGGAGAAGGGATAGAAGGAGAAGAGAAGGATGAGAAGAAGGAGAAGAGAAGGATGAGAAGAAGGAGAAGGAAGGATGAGAAGAAGGAGAAGGATGAGAAGAAGGTCAGAAGGAGAAGGATGAGAAGAAGGAGAAGGCAGGATATAGAAAAGGAGATTCTGTGAGGAAGGAAGAGAAGAAGAGAAGGAGAAGGATGAGAATACAGGAGAATCTTCATGAGAAGAAGGAGAAGGAGAAGTGAGAAAATGGAGAAGGATGAGAAGAAGAGAAGGAGAAGGATGAGAAGAAGGAGAAGAGAAGAAGAAGAAGGTAGAAGGATGAGAAAGAAGGGAAGGATGTTGAAGACAGGATGAGTATCTAGGATGATTCCATAGAAGGAGATGAGATTCTGAGAGATACACTAGCAGAGCTGAGAAGCAGGAGCTCTGCAGATACACTTTTTGCCGGCATGGAATTATTCTTATTTTCATCCTACTTCTTCTTCTTCTTCTTCTAAAAAGTGTATCTGCAGAGCTCCACTAAGTGTATCTGCAGAATAGAGGAGCTCTGCATATACACTTTTTGCCGGCTCCTACTTCTTCTTCTTCATTCCTCTTCATCCTCATCCTCATCCTCTTCTTCTTCTTCTGAGGATGAGGATGAAGAAGAAGAAGAAGTAAGTAGGATGAAAATAAGAATAAATTCCCATAAGAAAAATTTAAGCAAGAGTATCCGGCAAAAAGTGTATCTGCAAGCTCCTCTATTCTGCAGTATACACTTAGAGGAGCCTCTAGTCATAACCTTCTCTTTTTTAGGAGTGTCTGTGCTGGCCTAGCTCCTCCTCTTCTACCTACAGAATCTTTTATGTAGCTGCTGGGGAAGGAGGGAATTGTAGGTCACTCAAGTGAAAGCCGTGCATCTGCTGGGGCTGCTGACATCACGGTCAAGATGGCGGCACCCAGCAGCTATTTTTTAGATAAATAACATGTATGAAGTAGGTTAAATACACATGTAAGCTTGAAGGATTTGTCTGTGGTGGAAATACATGGTCTGGCAGTAACGTCTCTGCAAAATACCCTATAGTGTAAACCGACAATAAGGTAGGTCAGGATTTGAATAAAGGAAAAGGGAACTATTGATGCTAATCTGCTTTGCACTGCGTGGGCAAAGCTTTCCTCCCCAGCAGTTTTTTCTTTGTTGCGCCATTTCTCTGTTCAGCTACCAAGAATGGAGAAACACAGCCTTGTGAGGCTCCATTCACATCTGAGTGCAGCATTATTTGATTTTTTTTTTGTGTGTATTTATGTGCGTTTGCAAACGTTTTTTCATGATTTGTTCAGGCTTTTTGAGTTCTGGCGTTTATGTATTGGCCAACAGAGAAAAATTTAATCTGTGACATCAATTGTTGCCATGTTTTGTCATGCCAGAAAAACACTCTTGGTCAACAAAACATGCAAAAGCGCATGAAAATGCGTGATTTGTACGTTTCCATGTATTTGGGAAGGAATAAAAACACATAAAAAAATGCACCAATCTGCCTGAACGCAGCTACAAAAGCAGCTACAAAACTTTTTTGAGCTTCAGGCATTCTGCTTCAGGCGACTTGAAGTGGA